GGTAATGCATCAAAACACAGCATGATGGATCTCCAGGAAGTGAATATAAAAGCAGGTAGGTGACGCATGCTTGTCTTTACTTTGTTAATTAAATTACAAGGAGTGTGTACCTTAAACAAAATTAACTAAAATACTATACAGCACATTTCCTTCTTTTTTCTCGCAAAAAACGATGCATAGTATGCATTGTAAATCCGCTATAGGTAATCGAGAATGAATAAGTAAAGGTCATATTGTGAGATTCACACTGGCCACAATGCTATTTCATGTGCACTCAGTCTATCTCAGACAGTAGGCCAATATTTATGGTCCAGTAATTGGCGATAGCTAGAGGTCAATGTCCGAGACATCTATTTTGGCGATCGCACATCAATTACCTCCTCTTGCATAACACTGCGATACTTAACACGTTTCTCAAACCAGTAGAATTAGGTGATTGAGATGAACTGTAGTTGTTATCGCATATAATGATCAACAACACGTACCTTGTGAATGGAGAGTGAATAAAACGGTGAAGCAAAGAAGACGAACACACATGAAGCCATCTTGCTACTTAGAGATACAGCAGATCCAATGGTAAAGCCACCAACGTTACGAGGACTTGAGAAATTGGCTCATACGTGTACCCAGATAGCTCCAAATGGCCCGAAAAATGCTGGGGTGTGTCCCATATGGCGGTTTACAGTCTGATTCAGTGTGTATCAGTGCGCGCACACCCATAGACCCAGGCCCTAAATGAAAGCCGTCTACGGCCCTCGGGGAAAGCTGAACACATTAGTTCGGCTGGAGGAATCCAAGTAATGTGTTCCAATTACATTATGTCATCCATAATGCATAGCCTAAGTCACTTAGTAATGATTTGGTGCACAACTTCCAGGGACAGTGAGATCATGAACTTGCAGAAGGCTGAAAATTTGTCTGCGTGTACACTAAAAATCCTTTCTTAGTTAATGACGTAATGCTTGTTTGGATGATGGCATTGATAGCTTATCACAAAATATAGAGAATACAGTACATGCCAAGTTTGTTTTGGACCTTAATAACGTGCATTTCTTAGCTATATATACTTTTGTAACGTGTTATTGAATGATTTGATAATCCACAAGACATTTGTGGCTCGTCACCGCCAGATAAGGTGATAGAAATACTGTTTTTAGCAGCTACCTTAATAAGGTATTTTAGCAGCTACCTTTATTTTAAGACAGTTATATGCAACGAGGACACTTGCGGACTTTGTTATTACTGCAGCCTTAGTTAGAGGATGCACTTGTATGTGGTAGGGCTGAGGACCAATACGGAATTAACTAAGTTTGTTTGAATTAGGTTTTGCAGTACTGGTGTCTGTTGGTAGGCATAATAACATGACAAAATCGCAAGGTATTCATGCGAGGGCAGTGGACGGTATTTTGTATTTTCCCACGATTCAAAATGTTCTAGAAGGATAGTGAGTTTACCTTATCATCTTCATATACATTAAGGTGTAGGTCTAACTATTCTGTATGCAGTTATTGGGAAGGAGGTTACTAATGCACCTTTGGTGTTGGGAACCTCATGAGTACGTTGGAGTATAAATCCTTGAGGTCATTTTATCATGCTCTTTGCTCTTTGCAATATTAATAGTCATGAGGTAATTAACTTTGACCAGTAACTGGTATTTTTTATTGTGTTAGTTCCACTGCATTTGACAATACATAAAAGTGACAATTGTGTTCAGACCCTTGCTTTTACATATTTCCATCAGACTTAACGATGGCATGCAAGTAGAAAAGATAGGAAATACGACTGTTAGAAAGGTTGTGGTTATCTAATATTTGCTTAAATACAGTGTTACTCAAGATTCATGACTGCACATACGTATACAGGTAAAATGACATGAATGGAACGGCATGACATCACATATCTAGATATATATGCAGATAGGCTAGCATTACTTAACTATACTCTTACGGTACATTGATTAAAGATTAGTTGTATAATCCTTGAAACATACAGTACGTTTTGCTGATATTTGGTGAATCATACACCACGTAACGTTATAAACTTCTGCTATATATGTGTATATTAAAAGATGCACGTAAAGCTTATACACGTGTCACGTGTATTGATAGGCTATATTTTTGGTTAATAGTTTACAATCACAGGTAGACACCAAACATCACATTATTGCAATTTCAATGTCAACTTCGAGTTAGGCAAGCATCAAACTGACAGGCTAATATAGTCGTCCTCTGCTATAAGTAAAATTCAACTAGATCACAGTAGCGGAAAAGGTATCAGACTGTGGTCAGATACATAGTCGAATTCAACATTTCGGCAACGTTTGGACATCCAAGAGCATCCACCGTCAGCCGTTGTACTTAGTGATAATAATAAACAGATGCAGAGTTACTCCGTTATCAACGTTTACTCGTAAACTTCAGATGCCACGGAGCCAACGGCAACAGACTAGAGAGGAGAAAGTAGTCATGATTGTTAATTCATGAATAAACATGGCGTACAATTGGGGAGCAACGAAATCCATATTTGCCAGCTGATGTTAATTTTTAATATTGCATAGCATAAGGCGCTGTTTAATATATCAGAATATTTCCTTTGGTGGATTTTTCGAGTTGTAGCGAGTTAGGCAAACCTTGACACGGCAAGCTGATTCTACTCACATTTGTCATTGTAATAATGACCTACATGTACCTGAACTGTAACAGGTGAACCATCCAAATCAGCAGACCCGTACCGACGAGACCATTCCTCTGTGGGGTAAGGAGGGAGGGAGGTCGAGTGCACTAACCCTGAGTAAAACAAAATATATATACACCCTTTTCCCATTAAGATTCTGTAAACAAACAATCGTTTGGAAAAACAAAAGATGTGCCTTAATATCATTGTGTCCCTTGTATGTCATATATCATTAGTCCTCTTGGCTTAAAATGTGAGAAATAAAACTCCAGAATTTGCCAATTATATACCTCCGTTTGGAAGTCCTGCCGATGTCCATCCCGTGTCCATCCGTGGCGGAGGACGAGGTTTGAGAGTACCGTACATCTCCCGTAGCTCCTGTAGGTCCTCCACACCGGAGTCAATGGTACCGGTCTTGTACATGTACTTCGGCACAGGGGGCATCGGGCGAGAGACTGGGACTCGGAAAGGTTCTGAAAATATTATATGCTCGGATATGATATTTAGTCACTAACGTCTTTTCATTGTCAAAAAGTTACAAAAACGTCTTTTCATTAATTAAGATACGTGCGTATTGCAAAATTCAGCCTTCCGAATGTACAGGACTTACCTTCAATGTAAGACTTACATATCCAGCCCCGTCTCTTTGCAAAGATCACCATAACAGCTGCAGTTGTCAGTAGCAAAATGGTACCAGCAGTAATAGAAGGTATGATGATCTCCAAAGGCCAGGACCCTGTTAGAAAAAAAGAAAAGAAGTACGTATCTATCGAATACTAGTAGTACTTGCATAACATCGGAAATAAGATTCTATCATTACTGCAAAACCCGTTGCCCTGCAAGGTACCTCATTAATAAAAACACATAACTATCGCAAGATCATTTTTGTGAGAAGCCTGCTTCACCTGAAATGTCGAGACGAATGTTGCGTCTGACAGACCCGAAGACGTTCGATGCCGTGCAGATGTAGTTCCCGCTGTTCTGTACAGTAGCATCAGGTATGGTCAGTACCGATGTCATCCCCTGGCCCTCTTCAGTGATAACTATTTTACTGTTGACACTCGCCGGCAATTCCTTCTCTACTCCGTCATCATTACGCCATACCCAGTCCATTTTAGATGGCAGTGGGTCGGCTGTAACAGTGCAACTCATGCGAACTGCTTCTCCAACAGCGGCAGATACGGTCGATGTGCCCGTTTTCCTTTGCATCAAGGGTTTTCCTATAGAGAAGGTATTTGAGAAAATGTATTCTACTGATAGCAACATTTCCAATCATCACTTGAATTATGTCGATAAACTGGCATATTTTTCAATGATGGTAGACCTTTGTGCTTCTAACACGCAACATTAACAAAATAGTAAGGATACACGTATTATGTCATGACATTTTTTCATCTATATAGTAATTAGAAACTAACCAACTACATCGATGAAGGTGTCTTTGGCCTGCAGAGGAAACCCATCGCTTGTGGCCACACATTGATACGTCCCCTCCACCTCGTAGCTCACCCGACGGAACCGTAGCGGATTTTCCCAATATAAATTTGTATCCTTCCGCCGCCACCTTACTCGTGGTTCTGGATTTCCGTCCGCCAGACACTCCAGTAAAAACCCATCATTGCCTTGTTGAACAGTAACTTTCTTCTCCATGGATGGATTTATCAAAGGAGGGTCTGTAATTTATGGATTTATTAATGACGATAACCACGAAAAAGCATAGGTAATACAGTTTTGACTAGAACTTGAAATAAAACTTCATATAAATCTAAAGACGTTATTTGATCATCTAAATTGCAATGAATGGATGTCTTAGTTCTATCTTCGCACTAACCAGGTTTATGCTGCTTGCGACTATTGTGTATCGCTTGTCGCTATCGATCTTTTCTTCGTGAGACCTTCGAAAGATGCTTTTTAAATTATAATGATGGAATACAGAAGACTTACAGAGAACGTTCAAAGTGACGGTACCCACACCTATGGGTAAGATACCATTCTCCGCTGAACACTGATAAATACCAGCATCAAGACGAGTTGTATTCCTGATGCGAAGCGTCTGCTTCCTTGGGATAGAAAACAATATTGTTATACTTATAAGGATTGCTCTCAACGTATAAGGATTGCTCTCAACTTTGAAAAAATGTGACAACTCGACATATTTCTTTCTAACACATCCCCTCGTAAGGCAGGTTTAACTTCTTGAAGCGTTAATGTTTAGTTGACATAATCTCCTAGATCCTGTAGAGTGTGAAACTTAGTAGAGATAATGGGAATACCTATGGTGTAATTGTATTGAAGCAAATACATCTAAATTGAAACACAAGTTTTGCACCTAACATCTTGCACAAGCGGCATGTGATGGCCAAGTTTTATCCAGCTGATGCTCGCAGGAGGGCTGCCATCGACTAGGCAGGTTAAGAATGCTGCCTCTCCCTCCACGACAGACACCGCTGTAATAGGAACTGATACCATTGGAGCATCTGCAAAATGTAAGCACAGCAATCAATATTGTATTATCATTTGGGCGCATCAGATTTAACGATCATCGACAGCCATATACATTTGTTAGTATTTGTGGCTTAGGGCCCTCCTATGGAAACTAGGAATGTATGCGCCTTGCCTTCCTTTTCGTTGTAACATAAGTAATTTAGAAAGATTATGATACCCGATCAAATAAGTCATTCTTACACACTTACAATGAACTTGTAATATACTCCAGGACTCTTGCACAGACGTGATCTCTGGGAATGGCTGACTGGCTTTGCATGTCAGGTTCATGCCGTTGTCCCATTTGGTCACCTGTGGAATAACCAGTTCAGTTTCAACTTGACCTTCGCGCTCCTGCCGTCTCACTTGTTCACCAGTAAAAGCCTGTGTACCGTTGTACCACGTCAGCTCTGGTAGCGGGTGCCCTCCAGAAGATAGACACCTCAAAGCAAGTTCTTGTCCCACCTTACTTGGAACCTCCAGACCTCTCAGTAGAGGGTGACGGGGAACTGGAACTGAAGGTGGTATATCATATACATTTAAAAAATATATATATCTTTAAATTTAAGAGTGGTATGTGATACTAGAGCTGAACAGGTTGGCAAATTAATTTTTTATGAAAAAAATCAAGTACATTACATCATCTTACCAACAACAGTAAGCTTGGCTTCTTTTGGAGTCAGGTCAAGATTAGCACATCTGTATATGCCTTCATCCTCCATCTTGACATCTTGTATTTGTAAATGATACTCTCCCTTTTGTGTGTCCCCAACCAACTGCACAAAAAACATGTAATAGGAGGTGATAGACTCAACAAAATACCCAACCCATGGCTTACTTTGACACGTTACTAGTACTTTGACATGTTTCCGAAAAAAAGTGCTAGAATAACTAATCGTTGCAATAACAAGTAATTTGCCATCAATATATAACAATACGACCTTGTGACGCTTATAACCTTGTCCCACTCTCTGGCCGATAGATATGGGTCTGAAACCAGGGGGTCCTGCCCATGTAACCATGTCCTCTGGCGACAGGGCACTAAAACTGCACTGGAGTGTGGTTGTGCGGCCTAGGAGAACAGCGGCTGGCATGGGAACCTCCTCATAGCTGGCACCATTTACTGCGAAACAACCAAATCTGCATTTAAATTGATCTCAAATTAATTTATAGATAAACCTCCGTGACTCTTTGATTAGTAGTACGTATAGTTTCAAAGTCAAGCGATTTCCAGGCATGCAAACACCATGCATGCCATCATGGACTAATGTGGAGACGACATACTAAAGTCCTCCCCCACCTGTTTTCAAACAGTATAGGAATCCTAATCACGTCCTTGAAACCACGACCTCTCTTATTATGAAACAAGTAGGAGGAATCGGAATGGGTACAAAGATGTTGTAGATGTCACAACAAATGATAACCATCGCCCATTGGGGTAATGCATCAAACTACAATATGATGGATCACCAGGAAGTGAATATAAAAAACAGATTTACTTTGTAATTAAATTCAAGGAGGGTGACTGTAAAAAAAAAACATGTATATTACATACGGCACATTTTCTCCTTAAAAAAGATATTTTGTATCCATTGTAAATCCGCTAAAGTAACTGAAAATGAAGTAAGTAAAATAAAGGACAGGTTGTGATCTTCACACTGGCTACAATGGTATTTCACTTACCCTTCCTCTATCTCAGACAGTAGGCCAATATTCATGGTCCAGTAATTGGCGATAGCTTGAGGCCAATGTCCGAGACATCTATTTTGGCGATCGTACATCAATTACCTCCTCTTGCATAACTGTGCGATAGTCAACATGTTTCTCAAACCGGTAGAGCTTGGTGATTAAGATTAACTGTAGTTGTTATCGTATATAATGATCAACAACACGTACCTTGTGAATGGAGAGTGAATAAAACGGTAAAGCAAAGAAGACGAATGTCCACACATGGTGCCATCTTGCTACGTCGAGATACAGCAGATCCAATGGCGCAGTCACCAACGTTACAAGGACTCGGGAAATTGGCTCATACGCGTACCCAGATGGCCCCCAAAAGGCTAGGGTGTGCCTCATATGACGGTTTACAGTCTGATTCAGTGTGTATCAGTGCGCGCACACCCATAGACCCAGGCCCTAAATGAAAGCCTTCTATGGCCCTCGGGGAAAGCTGAACACATTAGTTCGGCTGGAAGAATCCTGGCAATGTGTTCCAATTACATTATGTCATCCATAATGCATAGCCTAAGTCACTTAGTAATGATTTGGTGCACAACTTCCCGGGACAATGAGATCATGAACTTGCAGAGGGATGCAAATTTGTCTGCAAGAGGAATTGAAAACCTCTGCATGTACACAGACAATTAACAAAATGCAAATCAGTTTTCCTTAGATGCTGCCATCGATTAGTTGATGACTATTTCCATCGATAAGTTGATGACTTAAGCTAATAGTTGATTGCTTTTGCTTGTTTTTTTTTAATATCGAAATTAAAGATTTGCTTGGGAAACTTTGATGAACACTATTTGCGTAGGAAGAAAACATTTCAACCGATTATTTATTGAAAGGTGACCCCATGTAAATGCTATTTTCCTCCATAACGAAAACCATAACAATCGCTGGCGGTGAGGACACAAGCGATCTCTGGAAAAACTGCAGTCATGGTACATAACGAACTGTTACAAGTTATGCAGTATACGTATTGCGTGGTTGGTCAGTACCTATTTGTTTTTCTAGACATACGCGTATACGTAATCCCTTTCAAACTAGAAGACAACAACTAAAAGCAACACACGGATGTACAGAATGCATAGATTAGAGCTGTGACCTCTTGCGACTAGCTGATTAATGCATCGATGATTTTCCGAGGAACTGTGCCCTTAGTGAATTTGTTTTAAAGAACCTGCATTTAATTTTTTCCTACTTGACCTTTGAAATTGATAAAGGAATGACAGAAGTCTTCGAAATAGCATGCGATTCCAAATGTATTTTTTTCAATGGAACATGTATTGGAAGCCATTGAAACATTATTAGTATCATTATTATTGCACGAGACACGATTGAAATGCACTTTTAGTATTAGCAATGTTCATATAATAATAGCACCAAACTGTAATGCATTTGATTAGTTGTAAGACACGATACAAGATTCCTCTTACATCAAACGTACACTGCTGTTACAGTAATGCCTAAACCTGTTATTGGCGACATTTTAATGATATCTAGTAACACAAGAACCGTTCACATACGATCACACTACAATTCTCATTTAACTATGTCTATATAATAGCGATATAGAATACTTAACTGTCGAGACGTACATTACAAATAACATGTGTTCTGTTGTATTGACACAAATCTAAAGTATTCACAAGCTGACGTGACACAACATTTTTCTTTATTATACTGCCT